TTTTAGCTGACGTTTTAAAAAGGCTTCTCGCTTCCATCGTCAGAGCGTGGTGACTGTCCTCTTGCTGGTGTCGGTAACTGTGTCCAACTGCTAGCCAGATGCTTGATGTCCGCGTGTCAATCAATTGCAGCGATCGATTTTTTGTGGCTGTTTGAATTGCTCATGCCCTCGCGGGCGCCTCCATGAGGTGTGTTAAGTCGTTTGTGTGCCTCTTGAGCGTTTCCACCTTTTTCGCTCGCGGCTGCCGGCTGTCGGCCCTGCGTATCTTCCTCCGCCCGACCAATTGCTCCGTTCTGAGCAGATGTTAGTCTTCTGCGGAGCCTTTGGTAGGCGGGCTGAAGATCTGTAGGTCAGATAAGTGAGAGTCATATAAAAAACAGTTCAGTCAAAACGGTGACTACCACAACATTCTGCCATGAGTCGGTTAATCAGATATATCATTTGAGATGCCGATGTGTCCATGTTCATTTCAACATTGCAACATTCCGCCCCACCACGGAAATTTTTAGCGTCATGCGGTTTAGTTTTCAATTTATTGTTCGTTTTATTAGATTTTATTTACTAAGGTTATTTTAGTTTTATTAATTTTAGTGCAATTTAGTTGTCAGTAAAGTTTGGTATTAGTTTAGTTACTTTAATTTATTTTTAGTAGCAAGTGGATGCCTTTCGGCTTATCATACTATGATACTTATCAGAATGCGTTGGAAACTATTGTGGGTTTTAAAAGTTGGGAAATTTCAATCCTTCATGCTTTAGATCTTAATCCTTAGAATTCGATATGGAGTCAAGTAGGATTGTATCGAATTCGCGGGTACTGTTTGCGCAGTGCTTGTTTTTCTATTCGTTTTTTTTTCACAGTTCTATTATTGGGCTCCAAACATTAGGTTATGCATATAATTATTCCTATTGTTTTATAATTTTAAACGCCTCCTTCCTTTTTATTTATCCTTGATTTTCTAGGAGCATTCGGAACATTAAACTGAATCCCTTATAAATAAAGGTTCGCATGGAAACCGGCTTCGGTGCATTTTAAATCGCGTGTTTTTGAAAAACTTAACAGATAAAACCCCATATGCCTATCACCTCATTACCTTGCTAGTGCTTTCCTGAGTACAGGCAGTTCTTTTAAAGTCTTGACTGCATATCCTACTCCACCACTTATTTTTTCCTAAAGCAATAGCTACGTTTCTCACAAGCTCGCATGCTTGGCGTGATCTTGCTTTCATTTTTTGAGAAGGCCACATTTAGGTTGCCCCGCAGCAGAAAATAAAACACGGAACACGATATCCTTTTAGATACGGGCCAAGTCATGGCAATACACTTGGGATTTTCGTTCCTGTCCATGTGCTATCGACAAAGCCTTTTCGTTTGCTGTGAGCGGCCCACGTTAGGAATTGCCCAATTTAAAGCACAGCTTTCGTATCCACTCATAAAAGTGTGTTTGTTTTCGAGGAATTCAACCCAAGAGCCCACACGCCAAATCTAGACAACATAAAAATGGCAGCTACACTCTCTGATGTCTGAAAGATTTATCTCATCACCAATCTTTGTTGGCCCTCCTTTGATAGCTATTGCGATTTTCCTTCGGCGTGTCGCCTTCCGTTCTATTAGGGGAGATTGGAGGTATTTACGAACTAGAACTTCTTAGGATCTTTTAAGCCAAAGATAATGCGCACCTCGGTCGCGTTCTGTGGGATTCAAGATCTGGACAGTGAGACAGTTCAACGGATTCATAACAGCCCTGACGATTTACTAGCAAAGAAACATGATTAGGGAAGATATCTGATCACTGGCAGTCCTTTGCAGGTTTTTGACCCTTAACTTATCCTAATCCGTGTGCAAACAGGCAGGTACTCCTCAGAAGAGTCACTACAGCACTCGGAGTTTTGGATCTGTAATGGCGTGCAAGGGAATACTGGCAAATGGTTATCACTTGCAGTTTTTGTTGACCTTAGTGACGAATCAAGTCAAATGAGGGCGAGGATCGACATTAGGTGGGGGTTGGCAGATTTAATAATTAAATGTACCCAACTGTGCAAGCTTTGGCAGCCTCCCTGGGATTCGAACCTACATCAGCAAGGGAAGGCTTGCGTACTGAGCTTTCGGGGCTCTATCCGTGCATCCTTGCGTTTAATCCCACTTGGGTCGACTTACCCGCCCAGCCTTCTGCAACTTATGGAATCCACTTATCATTGTGGAAAACTCGGTGGCCTCAGTGCGATTAGCACGCATGTCGGCAAGGAGAATTTTTTAGCCCGGTAGGACTCATGATTTATTGTGTGGAAAATCCTGCGTGGACGGTCTGCTTACTCTATCAGAACTGTTGGATTTCATACATTACAGTGTGTGATTGAAATCACGGCTCTGGTTGGGGCGTCATAGCTCAGTTGGCTAGAGCGTTGGGTGAACTGAGGACTTCCCCTTGTCGGCGTGTGTTTGAATCCTATCCAGGTTGTCGGGCATTGTACAGCAGGGTCAAATTAATTATTCAGCTTTGCCCAACCCCTTACTGCTCCTGTACCAAGGTTTATGACGCTTAATCTTCTTAAGGTAGTTGCGCCGCATTGATATTATACCAGATTTAACTTAAGTAGCCCTGCAAATTGTGCACTTGTCACTAATTGGACTGAAGACGTTTGTCATTCACTTAAAATGAGGATCGTTTTGGGGCTTAGAGTCTAACAAGGCGAGAAGTACACATTCCAGTGAGTGGGTAGTCCATAGTCTCCTTCATCCATGCCGTCTCAAGAATCTTTGTGTTTTTCAACCAAAGTAATTTTGTTCGGCAGCTGAAGTACCTCCAATGCGACTGTTTATTGATAACTGCTTTACCATCCGTCAAATTTTCAGGTCAATGCCACGGACGAGGACGATAAGGAGCTCTCAAAAACACTTATCAAGTACACGCTTATCGGAAATACAGTTTTCTCTATGCCAACCAAATACCTAAAAATTGACGTCAATACTGGTGTGATCACAAACGTCCTTCCATTGCTACGGTTATCGAGCTTCTATGGAGGCATACTACCTGATCAACTCTACTTTACGGTGAAAGCCACGGACTGGGGTATGTTATCGGAGACAACAATCATGAGGAAGGAAGCGTTACTACTGTACTTGTGCCTTATTTCTGATTAATATCCCACCATCTGTTACCACCTCAAGAACTGCGGCCCTCCAAGAGACCAAGATCCAAAAAACTCAGTCTTTCCTCTTCTCCTAACAGTTCTGTGATAAGCGGGAAACTTATTTGTCTACTGTTTTTGCGTACAGGTGTTCCGGAGTACTGGAACCTCTGCAATTTTCAGCTTATCATCGAGGACATCAATCACCACGCCCCCGTCTTCGATCCCGCAACCTATGAACTCATGGTGGAAAGGAACCATGATTTTAACAGGGATACACAAACCAAGATTGGCCGCGTTGTCGCCGTCGATTTGGATCAGCCGGGCACGAATAATTCTGAAATTTTTTATGCTATTTCTACACCGGTTTCTCACTTCACAATAGACAGCAGAACCGGTGAGATTATGGTCAGTGGAATGCTGACTGAGGTAAGCATTTCTGGAGTCCCGTGCAGTTATTCCCAAGGTAGCAAAGCACTTGATCACAGTCATTAGTGATAGTTCCCACAATGTATAAGTCTAATCGGCACTGATAGGTTGTGAAAACCTCCCAGCTTTCCAATATACAGCCCGATCTGGTATGGTTTATTATGTCATGTTTACTGGAAGTAGCTGATTGTGTGTTATCTGTTAAATTTTTAGGACTAATTGCAGAAAGTTGTTTAATCATGGTCCTTTGTTATTCAAGTTCCTTTGTTTATTGGGAGTTGTCCCTTATTTATTTTTAAAGCAGCATTCTCAAGTTCATTGGTATTTATGGACCTAGAAGAACAAATGTGGCGGAAATTTACTTATTTTTATGAACAAGGCAAAGATCACGAGATTAGCAGGATCTATTGACGTCAGATAGTTTCGCGAACTCCTATTTAACTGCAAACGGGTGTTTACTGTTGATAAAGTAATCAACTGTGCGATCAAGTTTCAATCAAAAGGATGAAACTTTATAGGTAAATAGAGTAGATATTAACCTTAGGTGTGGGCGTATGGTGAAGGGGTCCATTCACCAGACTTGTCAGCTTGTCTTATTGGAAACTAGCCCTTACTGGGGAGTGTTTCACTACATGCTGCCGTGGACGGACGAGAAGCTAACCGTTTAACTAACGGGAAAGCTTTGTCTCCCTTGGCCTCGGGCTCAAATGCATCCTGCAAATATTTGCCTTGTTCAAATTTATTCCGGGAAAACAATATTTCAAACTTACTTTTTTTAAGTTTCCTTGCACAGAGGGCCTAAGGGTACTTAAATAGTCTATCGTTGCTATCTTATTCCTCTAATCGATCAACTTTCCCAAAAAAATTTGGTCTTGTTATCAAAGTAGAATAAACTTATGTGATCAGATGACCTGCCTTTTCACGTTTTCTGTCTTTCATCTCAATTTAGCCCGAGTACAATTTCACAGTCGTGGCGAACAACTCGGTTGAATTGTTTGGCCCAAGAACAAAATGGAACTCAGCCACGGTTATAGTAAGGACGACCACAAACTCATCGCTACTACCGCCACAACTGAAGCTCGGCCGTCAGTAAGTTTGATACTTTGCCAATACAAGCGAACATGCTAGGCCGAAGAGGTTATTAAGAAGATCTCGAAGTGATCACTGAACCAAGACGTTTATTCGCATAAAGCTTCGAAATTCGTCGCAGACCTTCCCCCAGAGAAAAAGACAATAGCAGCGATGGGTAATTCATACTGCTGCTTCACACTGATGACAATTAACGATTCCCCTATCGAGGGTGATTGCCCCTTGTGCGCTAATGGCTGGGTGGCTGGCACTGTTGAACTTTCATCACACATGATCGAATTGGACGTGATGATTGCTGGGTCATCTGATTCCCCGATGTTTGTTTAAGACGATGCGGTGGCCTGTACGCTCGCCAAGTGACGACTTGCTTTGACCAAATTGAACCGCAGTACCGACTATAGATTGGGCAGGTCGTTGCACTTTCTTATAGACTGGAGGCCAGAGAACTACAACTCACTTAACTCGCGACATACAGGATTGTCACCTCTCTTGAGAATTTTGGACTCTTTATATTTCAATATCTTTATATTTCAATATCTCGTCGAATGAGCCGCTACTTGAAAATTAT